TTCTGTTTGGTGCTTATATGTCTCTGGACCTATTTGTTGGTCAGTTTATTTTGTTCATTAGATTCCACATATAAGTGAAATCGTGTGATGTTTGTCTTTCTCTGACTGGCATATCTCGCTTAGCAGAACAATCCCCACGTCCCTCTGTGGCTATGCTGCCTCAAAGGATAATGGAACGATTATTTTTGAGCAAATGTGGTTTTAACAAAATGCCTTCTGGTCTCTCTTTGCCTTAGGAATCAGGAGCTGTGGTTTCAGTCCCCTGAAGTTTCACTGCTCTTGATTTTACCTGCCCATTTGCCCTAAAGGGACAGGTGAAGTTCAGTTTTTAACCCCGTTTGAAAAGAGTGAGCCTCGGGGAGAGAATGGGTCAGGAAAACCCCGTCTACTTAAAATTCTTCTGGGGTTAGACATTCAGAAGAAGAAATCCCTCTGAGAATAGCAATATCTCTGAAATAAAAGATATCCTAAGGATTTCCTTTGAAATCTGTAGATGCCCATTCTGCCTGAGAGAGCCGGGGTTTATGTTGACAACTTCATGGTGGGCTGAGCAAACAGAGTGCAGTTACGTGACAGAAGATGATGGGAGTTTCAGTCAAAGACAGACCACATATACTATGGTGTCTGATAATCTTACAATCTTAAGATTATACTGGACTATAAGCAAATGTTTGCGATATTGAAAGTTTGAATTTACTGCTACCTCTACGTGCTTTAAATAGACCAGGAAGGTCGGCATGCTGCCCACCCAGCTGGCTGGCAGCTGGGCCAAGGGACTATCTAGGAAGGAAGAGGAATGGGCTGGGGAGGAGGGGTACCTGGGAGCCTGCTCCGTGCACGCCCAAACGGACATGCACACACACACACACACACACTCACACACACACTCACTCCTGTGCACAAACTCATTTCCCTTCTTTCCCCTCCCTCCCTTTCTTCCTCTCTCTCCTTTTTCTATCCTCCACTCCTCTCCCTCTCCCTTTCATTATTTCTCATCCTAAGCTCCTGTGCACAAACTCATTTCCCTTCTTCCCCCCCCCCTTCCCTTTCTTCCTCTCTCTCCTTTTCCTATCCTCCCATTCCTCTCCCTCTCCCTTTCATTATTTCTCATCCTAAGCTTTACCTCTCTGGGTCTCTGGATCTCTGCTCTCCTTTTCCCCCTCCCCTTCTCCTCCTTCTTGCTCTCTCCCTCACTCCCTCTGTCCTGATATCTACTCCTCCTCTCAGCGCCTGCCTTCATGGCCCTCCCCTTGCATCCCCAGTGTGTGCAAGTGTGCTCGCACGGCCTTTACTGTATCTTTTCTCTTTAGATACACAAATGATGTTGTGTTACAATTGCCTACAATATTTAGTAAGTAAATGGCTGTACAAACTTGTAGCCTGGGAGCAACTGGCGGACCACTGGTGGTCCGTGAGGTCCGAAAGGTTGGCGACTGCTGGGCTAGACAGTATAGCCCATGTGTGGAGTAGGCTATCCCATCTAGTTTGTGTTAGCACTCCATGATGTAAGCACCATGATCAAATCACCTAAAGACTCATTTCTCATAATGTGCCTCCATTGGCAAGTGAAGCATGACCGTAACAGAATGAAAGGTAAAATTTGGAATTGTCGTAAGGCCATGGTATCTTCATATTTGTGTCCTCTTATCTGAGCAAAGTGTCCAGCCTGCTGTGATAAGAGCTCAATAAATATGTATTGAATACATCAATTACATAAATTAATAACATGTCAAGAACTTTAAATCTAATTAATGAGTAACCGTTGCATATGTTTCTAATAGAGAGACCTCTGGGAGTTGATTTTTAATCAAGTAATCTTTGGCCTGTATTTCAAATTTATAAAAGGCCAAAGATAATTTAGTATTCTGAGCAAATGAGTTCCCCTTCTTAGTAGTTTGAGATATATATTATTCATAAAAGAAAACCCTAGACTCTCCACCCTCCTCCAGAGAGAGAGAGAGAGAGAAAGAGAGAGAGAGAGAGAGAGCATGTGTGCTATTTGAGTTATTTTGACTTAAGTCACCTCAAATATTAAGATCACCGACTGGCCCTAACCAGTCTGGCTCAGTAGATAGAGCGTCGGCCTGTGGATTGAAGGGTCCTAGGTTCGATTCCAGTCAAGGGCATGTACCTTGGTTGCATTTCTCTCTCGTCGATGTTTCTAGCTCTCTACCCCTCTCCCTTCCTCTCTGTAAAAAATCAATAAAATATATTATAAAAAAAAAAAAGATCACCGACTGATTTAACAGAGAACAAACGTTAGTTCTTACTGTGGTTAGGGGCCAAGTGTGATTTACAGACAGCATATATTATACATATTAAACTATATTGTAATTGCTACAGCAATATGTTGACTATGTTCAGTAGGACCCCAGAGCTTATATTGCTAGGGTTTATATTTTGGGGGAATGGACTGTTCCCCCAGCCTTGGTTAAATTCTCAAGGCTCACAATAATGTCTATCACAAAGAAAAGTCAGTGTTAATACATGAATTTCAGGTAAGCATATTGAGCTGCAGATTTTCCCTCAGGGAACATTGGCATGGAACGCATGACAGTAATTTCCCATCATAGAACTCTACAGTAATGTAGATTTCAGGATAGAAGCATGCAGTATTTTTTTTAATAATGTTTCCCAGGAGATTTTCCCAGGGACTTGGAGACCTACACTGCCCTTCGGGGCCACTACATTTTCTAATACCGCATACTCTCAGCCAAAGTTCCTTTCGATCAGTTGAGCATGTCCTGAGAAACAAAACAACTAGTTGTACTTCCAGTGCTGTAAAAGGGATGACATCATTGCTAAGATTTAAAGAACTGTAGCAGAGCGCCATTCTTTTCATTTGTTTAGAGGAGAAACCAATAATTGTGATTTCCTTTTCTCACTGTACCCACGTCATTAAATTAGTCATTTTCTCTAACTGTATTCATCGACTTAAGTTGGCTCTACATTAAACCAAAATGATGGATTCTTTAGTCATTCTTTTCCTAGATAGATAAAAATCTTCAATGCTTTGAACTCATCTCTTTATTAAGTAAAAAAAATAAATAAGAATTTCGTATTTTGTGGGGTTTTTTCCCAAGCCCCAAAGTTCAATTAGGGCTAACTAACAGCAACTTAAATAGCATTTTAACTAAATAGCCTTGGCTTGTAGGCTTCCAACAGGGGCCCTTCTAAAGTAAATCTTCCTTGGTTAACAGCTGTCAACTGTCAGTGAGCTAAAGGTAATTAAATTTGAAGATAGCTTTATGGCTCAGAAAAATAGATAAAAATCCTCAGACCAGAAAGGTCTTAAGTTAATGTAGTTATTGCTCCCTGTGGTATTTGAATTAATGCAAGAAATTGATTATTTTCTAACAAAACAGTTAAAGAGGAGAACTGCCATTGTTTGTTAATTGCAGGTAAAATTCAGTTGGGGCTGTTTTCCCTACTAAGATCACACTCTTGATTTCACTTCATTATAGATTAGGAAGAAAAGGGAAAAAGAAAAAAAAGAGTATTAAAAAAGAATACCCAAACTAAAGAAATCATGGTAGCAAGGGTGAGAAGGTGGTAGTTAGGGTCTTTGAACACTCAAAAGATGTATCAGCTGATAAGGGTTTCAACAACAGAAATGAAAACTTCAATTCAAGGTGCCTATGAAATACAAGAATTTTTTTTTCATTTTACATAACAGCAGTAGTTCAGTTATAGGGCAGTTCCAGGGGAGTTCAGAAATTAAGTGCTTTTTTAAAGAACTGAGCTTTTTCCCCCTAAATTCCTGCTTGTCATTCTCAGCTAGTAATCCTGGGAGCTGCAATTGCTACAAGTATAATATGCTCACACACCAATTTCCAGAGGTAGAAAAAGTGGCACCTTTTTGGGATGCCACTTTTTGAGACCCAAGAAATATTTTCAATACCCCTGCAGAAGGTTTCTCTTTAAGTCTCATAGACCATAACTAGTCAGAGGCCACATTTAAACCACTCACTGGTTAGGGGAATGGAACCATTATTGTTGGCATAGACCAGCTCTGCCAACAGGAAATTTTATTACCGGGAATCGAACCGTGACCTCATGGTTTATAGGTCAGTGCTCAACCACTGAGCCAGGCCAGCAGAGCCAGAAAGATATTCTTGTACAGTTTTTCATTCTCTTAAGATTATAAGCAAAAGAACAAAGAAAACATCAACTCTTTGAATGGAAAAGTCTTAAGTTGTGCAAAAGAGCATTTTGACTGGAAAGAAAACTGATTCTGCTATAATTGTTATTGATTTTTGTGTTGTCATGGTGCATTCCTTATATTCAAAGTTCAGCTGTACAGGCGCATATTTAATGTAAAAGAAGTTAAATGAACATGAGTCACTGATTATTGAGATACTGAAATCTAACCATTCAGAACATCTGAAAATTTATTATTTTTTCCTATAATATATACATTAAACATTTAAACGGCATTACCTTTTCATGGAGTATACTGGGAAAAATAGGTTTCTTTTTAAGTAATTTATTAAAAAAATATATTAAACTGGTTAGAATTATGTTGAGGAAGTAAGGTAAATATTTAGAGTAGGAAATAATTCTAAAATGATGTACTGAGTCCAACAATAAAACATTAAGACAAACTAGGAAGACATTCACACTGCCATTGTTTATTTGTTTGTTTGTTGGGCTTTATTTGTGTTTCAATCTGCTAACTTACTATATATTTTTGGCTAATCTGTTTGAACTAGCTGATGACAGCCAGGAATAAAACTCAGTTGAGATTCTTGCAAAATGTGAATAATTTTGTAATCAAATGTCATCACCATAAACTTTAAAATTGCATTTATTGATTTATGTTTTATTTCAGAGACAATGAATAAAAATATCCACTGAAATAACTAATTTCTAATTAATTTATTATTGTAGGAGGAAAATGTATCATTACATTTTTGGTAATATTTCTGTAAGATCATTTTTATTAAATTAATAGAATCATAGAACCATATCTATTTTCACTGTGTTGTTCACTATTTCAGAGCTTCGAGAAACCAAGACCTCTGAATACTTCAGCCTGTCTCACCATCCTTTAGACTATAGGATATTATTAATGGATGAAGATCAGGACCGGATATATGTGGGCAGCAAAGATCACATTCTTTCCTTGAATATTAACAATATAAGTCAAGAAGCTTTGAGTGTAAGTGTATTACTTTCGTGAGGGCAATGTTGACCTCCCTACTTGCTTTTTTCTTTAAAGACTTAAAATACAATAATAAATTATGTATTTCATTAGAACAATAGAAAATACCAGTTGCATGTTTATACATAATTGGAAGTTCGTACTTATTTAATGGACTGAAAATATAAAATCAATTCAATTTTCTTTGTCTAGTTTTATAGTTTTAAACAATCTAAAATCTGAAGCTAACTGAGAAAACACTTCCTGTTTATACATATATAGAACAAGAAAAAGAGAAGACTAGAGCATAGCATGAAAAAAATGGTCAGATTAAAGGAAGACCTACCTTGTCATTTATTCGTAATTCAAGAAGTCCTTGGAAGGAATACAATTATTAAATGCACTATTCTTTGAACAAATGTAGCCCATATTTGTCATTCTGTTTCACAACAAGGAAATAAATTGAGACTCACTGGAGTAAAGAAATAAAAGTAGATTCATGATAAATTTATTACAGAAAGGAGATTTCTGGACTTGTTATTTTTAAAATGGACAGCAGACAAAGAAATAATCTTCACTACCAGACCTGAGCCAAGGCAACAATGACTTGGAATGCTAGGACAGTATTTCAGAGCAGGAGCCTTTTGGATTCTATCCAAGCTATTTTAACTGTGGATGTACCTGGGTGCCCCATTTTAATTAAATCCACCAGCCTAGCTTGTAGTTTTCTCAAAATAATATTAAACTGAGATTGCAATATAAATGTAAATTCATTGTGATATAAGCAGTTGGGAAAAGTGTATTATAAATAAAAAAGAGGAAATATACCTTATATTGTGCACATTAATAATGACCTCATTTTAATATAATAGCATTAGTAAGGGGGCATATATTGAAGTGCTTTTGTTAAAAGAAAGATTGATGGAAGGAATAAAAACATAAGTCTTACAATAAAATTATAAAATCTTTATTCATTTAAGTTCATAAAATGAAAGAAGATAGAATTTTGAAGTAGAAATACAGAAACATCTTAAAGAAATCTGTTAGCATAAAGTAAATGATGAGCACTGAGCTGTCCTATGTACAGTGAGATTTACGCAATCTATATTTTCCTTTCTGAGCAGGTTTTCTGGCCAGCGTCTACAATCAAAGTCGAAGAGTGCAAAATGGCTGGCAAAGATCCCACAGTGAGTGCTTTAAAAAAAACCCAGAACTTAAATATTTGGTCTTTGAATCCATGTATCTTGAGTGCAGCCAGGAGTGAGACAACGGGTGTTGGTGTTTTAAATCCTCTGCTGGACACATGGTAAAAAATGTAAATACAGAAAGATTGGAACTCTTAAACATTGTAATTTAGGAATTCCTGACTGGGTAAAACTTTCTTGACTTGCTTTCATTATTGCACCCTGACACTTTCCATGATGAATTTCAGTAATAACCCCTGTTCCAAGTAGATCCAACCTGTGGAATTCTCAGGAGGCTGCTGGAATAATGATAATGCAAGACTCTGGACCAACTCCCAGATACCATGCGGGCTTTTCCTACGAAAGATTCTCAGCAGAAGGGTTGTGGTTAGCCAGCACATTCCAGAGGCATAAATCACCAGTGATGACTGGTGTCTTTGTTAATTAAAAATAACCATAGAAACAAAATTGGGACAGGTTTAAATATCAATAGATTATCAATGTGAGGCACTAGAAACACTTGTAAAAATTATGTTACTTTAGGTAGGAGTCCAGAGTCAAGGAATAAACCTATATTGATTGCTGCTAACGACTTGCTGAAATTGACAGATTATGCTTTTTTTTTAATTAATCCTCACCCCAGGATATATTTTCCACTGATTTTTAGAGACAGTGGAAGGGAGGGAGAGAGGGAGGGAGAGAAAGAGAACATCAGTTAGAGAGAAACACAATTATTGGGTCGAACCCATGACCCTCTAGCCACTGAGACACACTGGCCAGGACTGACAGATTATTCTTGAATATTATAAAATAAATACAGGAAAAAATATCTAATGTGCACAAGTCATTTAATGTTTATAATGAAGCATATATGTCATTTCACCTTATTTCAAATCATGAAAAAAATAACATAATAGATCCAAGTATCAAAATTACCTACTCTTATATTAATAACTTGGTAGCCCGGGTGGTGTGGCTCAGTGGTTGAATGTTGACCTATGAACCAGGAGGTCAGGGTTCAATTCGTGGTCAGGGCACATGCCCAGGTTGAGGACTCTATCCCCAGTAGGGAGCATGCAGGAGGTAGCTAATCCATGATTCTCTGACATTATTGATGTTTCTCTCTCTTCCTCTTCTTTCCTCTCTCTGATATACATTTTTTAAAAAGATATTAAAAAAAAAGAAGTTTCTTTTTTTTTAATCATCACCAAAGGACATGTTTATTGATTTGAGAGAGAGAGAGAGAGAGAAAGGGAGAGACATTGATGTGAGAGGTAAACTTCAATCAGTTTCCTCCTGTTTGCACCCCCACTTGGGATTGAAAGTGCACTCTAGGTATGTGCCCTGACTTGAAATCAAACCTGCAACCTTTTGATGTGTGGGACAATCCTCCAACCAACTGAGCCACCCAGCCAGGGCAGAAGTTTCTTTAGATATTCATTCTTTCAATCACTTTTTCAACAAATACTGATACCTACTATGCATCTGGCATAATGTTAATTGCTAGAGATACAATTTTATGCTAAAATAAACATATTTGACTCTCATAAACTTTATTATCTTGTTGGAGAAGTCAATATCCTATATAATAAAAGGCTAATATGCAAATTGACTGAATGGTGGAATGACCGGTTGCTATGACCACCAGGGGGCAGACGCTCAACACAGGAGGGAGCGCCCACAGGGAGAGGCCACTCAGCCAGAAGCCGGGCTCAAGGCTGGTGAATGCAGCAGTGGTGTCGGGAGTGCTAATGACCCCTCGAGGGATGTCTGAGGGGAGCGGGCCTAAGCCGGCAAGCAGACACCCCTCAAGGGGTCCCAGACTGCGAGAGGGCAGAGGCCAGGCTGAGGGACCCCCTCCCCCCTCTAGTTAATCTAATAAGCATGGAAATACGTACATCCTAATTCAGGTGTGAGATTGAAATATGGTGATTGGGTAGCAAAACTAATAAATGTATACACACACACACACACACACACACACACAATCAGGTCTAAGGTCAAATAACAGCCTTGACTTAGTGTTGACTAAACACTTACCATTGTAAGTGTAGCATTCATTATAAGTATAGAGGTAAGAAATGCTGATTTTAGGAGAGAAGGCTGTGCGCTGAGCCTTGGTAATAAGTACTTCAGAGATTCATCAGATTGATTCAAACAAAGAAAGACTAACCCTTGTGGAAGGAGAAAGTGTGGAAATGAGCTTTTTATTTTCATTGACTCTCAATAGTCCCTGGTTTCAGGTTCTAAAAAGGTCAGGCTCAGTGCAGGTCCACGGAAGAACCTGGAAAGTTGAATCTCCAGGTCTCAGTGGAAGGTGTTCTTGGCAAGAGCTCACCAGGAGTGACTCGGCAATGGTCTCACTTTTTCAGTTTCATAACTCACCTTATAAGAGAAATTTAAAAGTGGGCAGAAGGAGCTTGCAGGAGCATTTTTGCTACCCATAGGATTTTGTAGACCACTTTCTGGAGGGAAAAATCCAGGAAAATGTGGAAAAACATTTGTAAGAATATTATAATAGCCTTCTAGGGAGTGAGTAGAATGAAGTATTCTTTTGTGGGATACACTTTTTTGTCCCCTGAAGCCATTATGTCAATAATTATGCATGGATTAAACTATTTTCTTTCATTCTCTAATGTAGAGATTTTTTCCACTAATGCGTATCTGATCATGAGTTGCTTTTTGCCGCAGTAATATCCTGTGGCTATAATTACTGGATTTAATTGTCCTTTGTTCAAAAAGATTTATATTTCCCATTTATACAGGATATGTAGGATTTGGATACCTTTGCACGTTCTTGTTCCAAAACTTGCTGTTGATTTTCTAAAGAATCTTAGCTAAGTCATTAAATTTCTTTCTCTCCTTGGCAAAATTAAAAGGCTCTGTTATTTGCTCTCTTGTAATTAAAAGTCATTAGATAAAATCTTCAATACGTGCTTATGTTTTCCCATAGTTTTGTCATACTGTAATGTCATTCATAGACATCTTTAAATTCTGCCATAGAGCCAATTAGTATACACAATGGAAGTAACTAGTGGAGGGTTCTGTTCTAGTACAGCCAAAATTGTTGGGTCCTGGGAAATAGCAATCAAACTAACACTTTCAAATAAATGCTCTGTCTGTGCTAAATAAGAAAACGTTTGACAAATGGATCTCATTTCATACATCCAAGATACCTACAGAGAAGCATGCTTTAATCAGACCACAGGAAAAAGGCTAGTGGCAGAAAAATGATGGTAAATAGGCCTTTAGAAGTTTTATAGATCAACACATTTTATTATACTTTTCAATGAAACCAAGTATGACAGAATTTCTTAACTCTGCTAGAATTTCAATTTTTTTAATGTGGGAATTGAATATTTTAATTGGCATGAGTGAGTTCTTGTGAAGAAACCAGAGGTCAATGAGGATGGAGTTCCTACTTTTAAGAGTCTTTACAATATACTAGAGATGATGAGACATATATGCAATAATTATCAAATAATAATAGGCAACATTTCATGAAATGGGCCATCACTTTTCTGTGTGCTTTATTTTAATTCTCATAACAGTGCCACAAGATGGACCTTATTGTTATCATCTACATTTTCAAGATAAAGAAACTGAGTCACTAAAATAGTAAGTAGGAGGTCACTGTCTGAGCAGGCACACATGGCTCTAAATCCTGCACCCTTAGCCAACCTAACATGCCACCTCACTAGGAAGAGTATGGTAAATGCTAAGGATACACATAAAAGAAGAAGAAAAATGACATGGCAGCTGGGATATTTAGGAAAAGCTCAAAAGATATGGTGGCAACTATATTGTCTTATGTTAACCTGCCCCTTATTTTAATGGTACTGATACCTTTTCTCTCTTTCAGCCTTTGGTACATGCTACATGCAATTCTCTTCTTGTTTAGTTACTTTCCCATTATTTTAGCCTGGGAATCATCTGTTCATTCTTTAAAGAAACAGTGCAGATGTCACGTTTCTGGAGTCTTCTCTCCCAACCTGGGCCCGGGCCAGCCACCCTTCTACCCCCACGGGCAGACCCGAAATACACTAGCACTTTTTTCCACTGTAGTTTTTAACTTTAACTCTCCCTTTATGATTGGAAATACCTGGTAGTAAGTGTCATTATCCCCAGGGCCCGGATCTGGATCTAGCTACTTCATAAAATTTAAATAACATCTGAAAAAATAGACATGGAAATAGTCAAGCACGGAAATCTTTTCCAAGTGGCTCATTAGAGGTTGGGGAATCCACATAGTGAACGATGAGTTTACTAATGCTCTTAGATTAAACATGTTTGTTGTAAATTATTTCATACGCATTTCAGTAGTATGTTTTGGTTAAATTTTAAAAATTGCTTTTAAGTATTAATCATCTACTAAGGAAAACAAAGTAATGACCATTTAAATTCATACTGCTGTGTAACAATTGAAAGGAAAAATAAAATCTAGAATCAAGCATTCTTTATTCCTTGAGATTTTTTACTTATCTGAAATTTTAAAGTTATTAGAAAATAATTAATTACTAGAAATTAATTCAATATAATTTAAAATTTCACCCCAGGTAATAATATTGCTACAATCACCTAATGTTCATAAGGAAAATAAATGAGCATGGTGGAAAAACATGTAATTTTTTCCGCCTCAGCTAAAGAGAGATTAAGCTACCGTCCATTCTCCTTTCTGCCCCTATGGATTCACGTTCTTACATGCTCCATTTATTTCTAAATGTTAATATTTTACTCATATTCTAAATAATTTGAGCTAAACAATAGCACATGCTGTCAAACATATCCAATGAGATAGGGCATAATGATTTGCTAAGTTAATATTCTAAGAGCTCCTTGAAAATTAAGCAGGGTTATATATATTTAGACATATATGCATTACATGCACACAATGTCAAACTTGATTTATTAATTATAGAGTATCCATTTACCTATTTTTGTGATCAGAGGATCCTAAACTACTGGAAAATATATTTTCTTTAGTAATACACTTAACAAAGTACCTTGATTTATTCCCCAGAACAAAGGATTGTAGGCGGAAAAAAAATAATCCCTCCCCCTTCCCCCTTCCCCGCCCCCCCCCCCTTGCATAGTATGGACCATGAAAAGTCAATATTTTTAATACCCTATTCATCTGTGCTCCGGAATATATTTTAAAAACATCTGTTTTTAAATTATGCAACTAATATATGTTTAATATAGAAATTTTTAAAGACCAAGAAAAGCATATAGCACACAGTAAATACTATATTTCTGTTAAGTAAATAAAATAAATGCACTATCCAAATATAGTAAATTTGAAAAAAAAACAAATATAGTAAATTAAAAATTGGGGTATATTATTTCAGCATTTTATTTTTTAATATATTTTTATTGATTTCAGAGAGAAAGGGAGAGGGAGAAAGAGATAGAAACATCAATGATGAGAGAGAATCATTAATCAGCTGCCTCCTGCAACGTCCCCCACTGGGGATCGAGCCCGCAACCTGGGCATGTACCCTTGACAGGAATCGAATCCGGGACCCCTCAGTCTGCAGGCCAATGCTCTATCCACTGAGCCAAACCAGCTAGGGCTATTTCAGCATTTTATTACATGACATATATAGTATATGAATAAAAGGACATTATATTCTGCATAATGTTAGCAGCCTGATTTTTCATTTTACATTTAACATTTTACCAGAAAATACTTTCAAAATAGAGTTAAACAATTAAAAGAAAGCATGCATGGTGCTGAATTTTCCTGAAGTCTCGTTCCCCAAACCTTTCATGGATTCCTATTACGGTCAGGGCCTATATACTAAGCTCTGTGCAGGACAAATGCCCTATTTACTTCACAGGTTTGTATTGGCAGTTGGAATTGAAAATGTGTGTGAAAGAGTCTAATATCTAACCCAGTGTATATTTATTTGCCAGAAACTATTCCAAGTGCTTTATTATTATACAGGGTGTGGCAAAAGTAGGTTTACAGTTGTGATCAAGAAAAACAGTTTATTCTTGTATTACTACTTAATTAACTATTGTATGTCTTCCATATAAACAACTGTAAACCTACTTTTGCCTCTAAATTGCTCACAACAAATACTATCATCACCATTCGTAGATAAAAAGATTGAAGCACAGAGAAATTACATAAATGCCTCAAGTTCAAACAGCTAGTTAAAGATAAAGACAGCCAAAGCCGGTTTGGCTCAGTGGATGGAGCGTTGGCCTGCAGACTGAGTGGTCCCAGGTTCGATTCCGGTCGGGGGCATGTACCTTGGTTGCGGGCACATCCCCAGTGGGAGATGTGCAGGAGGCAGCTGATGGATGTTTCTCTCTCATCGATGTTTCTGGCTCTCTATCTCTCTCCCTTCCTCTCTGTAAAAAAGTCAATAAAATATATTTTAAAAAAAGATAAAGACAGATTTTTTAATAGCTCTGAGATTTGTATACCTAAATCCACTCTCTATGCCCAGCTAAAGATTATGGCATGATGCCCGGCTGGCATGGCTCAGTGGTTGTCAACCTATGAACCAGAAGATCATGGTTTGATTCCCAGTCAGGGCACATGCTCGGGTTGTGGGCTTGGTCTCCAGTGTAGGGCATACAGGTGGCAGCTGATAAATGATTCTCTCTCATCATTGATGTTTCTCTCACTCTCACTCTCCCTCCCTCTCTAAAATCAATTTAAATAAATAAATATATATATATATATATAGACTATGGCATGATGACAGACCAACTCTAATTGTCTCTCTTGCTTCATCGGACAATAATCCTCTGTCTCTTCTAGGCACTATTCACCAAGTAAGTCCTGCACTGCCATACCTGTTTTTAATTCATGCTCTGCTGTTTTTGTTGGAACATTCTTTCCTTATGCTTTTGCCTGACAAAATCTCTAGCTCATTCTGCAATGACACCCCCTTCAAACCTTTACACCAAGTTCCGCATTACTCATTCTCTTCTTTCCTCTATAGCACCTTTTGAAAAATATAACCCTATTACAGCATCTACTATAGCCTGAAAGTAGGAATTGAATCTATTATTTCCAGTGTTTTCGGTACTATGTACAGTGCTTGCACTGAGTTTATAGATATTTGCTGAATGAAATGGTCTAGGTCAGAAATAATGTATTCAGAAACTAAGGCAGAACAATGGAATGGCAATGACCTAGAACATGATTTTCAATAATTAACTCAACTGCTTTGTTTTTCCTTTGGGGTTTTTCTCTGTAAGGGAAGGTTGGAGGGGTACACTGAGCATCATCAGAGAGCATGGAAATCTGCCTCATGGTTAGTCAACCCCTTCCTATAGCAAAGCTGGATGGTGGAGGGCGGTGTGTTTCAAGAGCCAGCTCAGTTACTTATTAAACCTAGAGCATTTCATTTAACCTCTTTGAAATTCAATTTCCTTATCACTAGAATGGCACTAATACTTTAATTGGAACACTATTGTAAAGATTAAAAACAACATCAAAGGAAGAGCTCTTTAAACATTAGTAACAGTTATAAAAACTCCTTTCTAATAAGTATAGATTCCAAACACAATTGCAGATTTTGAAGAGGTTAAAAATACAAGATGTGTTAGACACATCTGTGTTTCAAAATCTGCTTTACCCTTTTCTAGCTATATATCCTCAGGCAAGTTAACTAAAAATGTTCTAAGCTTTATTTTTCTAAAAGCGGTTGAGTTGTAAAAAAAAAAAATGAGTGAATGTTAAGTGCCTAAGTAGCATATAATATGCTAAATAAATGTGAGATATAAAGGTAAAAAAAAATCAAACTTCCTGGGAATTAAAAGAGGCTAAATATATGAAATGATTATTCCACTGTCTGCCACATAATAAATTCTCAATTACTAGCCATAATAAACATATCAATGTATCTAATATATAGATATAAAATACATAAAATTCGTATAAACTGTATTTGAAATATAAAAGAAATATTAGTGACTTTTTTAAACTAATACCAGTAATTCATGATGGTAAATGGCCTACAAAACTCCAGAGGAGACAGACATAACCTATTATTAATAGAGTTGGGTTGAGTTCATGTCTTATGGAAAAATAGTATATACAGAACCCCAGCATGACTAACTTTGAATGTGAAAAAAATAAACACAAGTCTCATTGCTCACCGATACCCTTAACGTAGACATATTATATACACACCATACATCATCTATGCTTTTTCTCCAGAGAAACACATTATCATCTGCAGTTATATAGTCAATTTCCAGGAACCTCTATAAACAGGTGTCAAGATACTGTGACATTATATATTTAACAAAAATCCTTAATGTCTTAAAATAAAAATAAATTGTGTAGTCTGGTCTGTAAGGTTTAATTTTTTCACAGCAAAGTTAATGATTGATTATTTGATAATAAAAACCTATAATAGAAACATGTGTAGAAAATTACTACATATAAAAATAAGCATATACTTACTATCAAGTAATAATGAATATGAAAGGAGGAAATGATGGAAAATATAAAATAACATTGACTTTAAATGTAATTTTCTTTTTAGTAAAATTTGTGTTTTTACTTTACTAATAATGTAAGTAATGCATGTACATTATAAACAATAAATAAAATACATGATACCTAGAAGAGAGTATAAAAGAACACCTATGGTCTCTGACCACCCCTGGGAAAACCACTGTTATCTTTTCATATATTTTTATTAAAATATTTATCTTTGATTTTTAACATTATTTTTAATCATGTTCTTTGAGAAAAAAACTAACTGTGAAGGGAACAACATTTAATCTCAGGCTGGATTAATTTGTAGTCAGCAAAGGATAGTGAGCCTAATAAACACTGAGCATGCAACGGTCCCTTCAGGGACAGGTATGCATTTGGTGATGGCCATATTTATGTACTTCTGCAAGGTCATAGTCAACTTATAATTACTATAATGATTTTTTGTTGTTGAGAGAATAAATGACAATGTCTAATGATTGGACTGGGAACAGGTGAGAAAGGAGATTTTGAAGGAAGTATTTTAGGGGGTTACGGGCAGAGAGAGAAAAATTACATCATTTTTCATAGAAAGCAGTAAGTTTGGCATTTCCTTCAAGGTTTGTTTTATTCACCAATTGTAAAGGCCAATAGTGCTTGCCATTGTGTACTAAAGATAAAACAGGCCTTGTATAAGCACAATTTCACTTAATTCATGTTTATATAAAGTGTGTATATGTGTGTGTATGTTTTGAAGAAAATTTGAGGAAATAATTTGCTGTACTTAATCTTAGGTAAAAATTAAGTTCATTAAGTTTCAGAAAATAAAAACTTATATAGCATACAGAAGAGAAATATGAGAGATATATCATTTTACTCATTACCTAAGTTGGACTACCTTCCACCCGAAATAAAGCAATGGTGTAAACAATGTGGTTCTCTTACTATCTCCGAACATGTTAGAGCAGAAAGAAAAATTCAAAGCAAAGTTTCACAGTAATACTTAGTAATAGCAATAAAATCGTTGCTAAGCACTTCTTTACCTATTCTTTCAGCATGGTTGTGGGAACTTCGTCCGTGTAATTCAGGCGTTCAACCGCACTCATCTGTATGTTTGTGGGAGTGGTGCTTTCAGCCCAGTCTGTACTTATTTGAACAGAGGGAGGAGATCAGAGGTGAGTGTAACATTTTTTTCATTCTTTGTTCTGCTTAGTGTCAAAGGTTGCTTAAAACTGTATTTTAGAGTTTCTGGCCATCAGGTTACTTAAAATACAGCCTTTTGCCTTTAAACATTATATATATATATATATAAGTCTGAATGGAAATGCTGCAAAAGATAAAGGAAAAAAATGGTGTGGCTTCATAATTACTTAGAATGTAAGGTATTGATAATATTAATGCAAATTATAGAAATATTATACTATACATTCACTTTCTCAAATCTATTTTAAACAATTTCTTATTTATGTTTCAAATTTAATAAACTTTTATGAGATACACACCTGTAAGTGCCAGCCGAAGAGAACTTTATATAATTAATAAATCATACTTTCATTTAGAGTAACATTGGTCTACGAGGGTTTTCTAGCCTTATTCTTACATTGGTTAAAATGATTTGGGGATATTTGAATAAAAGTATCTTCTGAGAGTAAATATACAGCTAATGTACAGTCAAATATGTGGCTGGTTCAACTTCACCTGTGATATTTAAGACTGTGTTTATCCCAGTTTACAATTATTGACTAAGGAAACAATTCATTAGCCCCAAACAGATTTTCTGGATTCTTTTAGTCAAACATGTCGTATTTAATATAAATATTTTAAAAACTGAATTATTTCATAATATCTTGCTTTGATTTTATTATGCATCTTAAGCCTTGAAAGTCCAGTTCTTAATGTCTAAATTCGATTTTACAGATTAGAATTGTAAAAAAAAAGATTAAATGTTGCTACTGATATATCTTAGGTTCATTTTTCTGTAACAAAGGTTAATCTACTTTAGTATGAATATAATTGAATAATCTCTCTGTATTCCTTTATTATTAATTTTTTCATGTATGTAATTTATATATATATATATATATCTTTTGTTGAATAAAAAAATCACTTAAAAATAACTGAGTGATTATCATTTGACCCCATATTGATGCATCTCCAAGTGGTTCAAAACAAGATGAAATATTAAAGTTCTTAAATGTAAAGCTATGCTTCTTGGAAGAGTACAGTTGGCTGCATTGAGCTTGTCATTAGAACCACATGCCTGTGATCAACTGATAAATAAACTACTGCCCTAGACGTCTGCAATCTGTCAGACCCTTTACTGAAGACTGCACAGTCACTGCAGAGGCCACCAATAGCACAGCACTTTTCAGAGCACACATTTCAAATGAAATCATTTTCCCACGTACAGATTGCCCACTATGCACTTCAAGGCTTAAATGCAAAAGTCAGTAAAAAAAACAAATCTCATATGGAAAACCAGCATGGAATAAATTTTAATCACTTTATCAAATATGAACTACTATAGTCTCATTTCAAAAAAATCTATTTAAAAGGGGAAGCATGTCTATTAATTAATATGTGAACATTTAAGAGTCAACTTAAGTATGGAAAGGATTATGAATTTTAATCTTTTTAATACTTTCCTTAGTAGTCAAGTCAAAGGGTTCCATCATAATATTGTATTTATATACATATCTAGAGTACATATGGAATGCAATTTTATCAGGATAATTTTGAAAAACCTTAGCTTGACACCTAAGGACTGCCATCATCTAATGCAACCAACAAAAGTGATCATCTTTTTCTTGGAATTTTAGTAGTCACTTTTACTAACTTACCTAGAAAAAGATAAGTATACCAACAAGATGTTCCCTCTCACTGAAGCTGCACTGATCATTATTGAAATCTTTGCTCATAGTCCCTGGGCTTCCCTAGTCCCATTCCTTGCTTAATGTTTTTCCTAAGCACTGAGCATCATCTAACAGACTTATATTTTATATATTTATTCTCTTTATATTTTATATATACCTATTTATATTCTCCCTCAGTATATTATAAATTACTTGAAGGCAAAGATGTTTGTCTATTTTGTTTACTGTATCCCTAATGTATTGTCAGTGCCTGGCACAGAGTAGATGGTCAATATATTTTGTTAAATAAATAAATAATAAAACATTTTAATCTAAATTATGAATTATTGCTTAACTTAGTATAATGATGTACATAACAAAATTAAGTGGTAACAAAATTTTATTTTTAAAACAGTCTTATTGTTTTTGGAAATATTATAATATTATACACATTGTTCCTCTGTGGACAAATTTCTGCTTTTGGTCAATTTCAACTTGTCTGATTCAGGGTAACAATAATTCTTAACTTTAAGTGGGTTTTAATAATGTAGCTTTGAGGAAAACTTGTTGGATCAGCTTTATGGGGAGTGTAATAGGATGAGAATTTGATCTACTAAGGTTAGTTTGTAATTCATAGATGCATTTGTCTACAGGCCAAGAAAGTCTTAATACAGTGAATTGGGAAGGCATAAGCAACCAAGTATAAAGCTTATTAATTATGATTACGCTTTGTTTTACTAAAGAACAATTGGTTAACTAAATATAATGTTATTTATTATTACTATCTTTTAAATTTTATCTACAATAAAGGACCAAGTTTTCATGATTGACTCCAAGTGTGAATCTGGAAAAGGACGCTGCTCTTTCAACCCCAATGTGAACACAGTATCTGTTATGATCAGTAAGTGAAAAATAAAGGAGGCAGTGAAAAATAGAAAATAAAAAGGAAATTAAGGAAAAATAATTCATGACATGGTATGCCCATTTTTGATAATTGTATGGATGATAGTACATGAGTAAAATAATAGGAAGAAAGGTTTATGCTGAGAAATAGAAATTTTAGTTTCTCATATTCAGGAATATTCATAATAAGCATGTATTTTTTCATTGAACACAACAATGCTCTCATTCCTAGAGCAAGTCAACAATTTACCAAAAAAACATGCATATGTAT